GACACTGAAGCAGTGACAAATCTAAGGAGTCATCCTTTCTATTTTGCCAACAAAGAACAGAAGCTCCAGTAATAATTAAGCCCAATATAAAATATTAGTACGAGTCCTGTGCAGCTCAAGCAAAAAGAAAACTTTCATTTCTAGGACAGCGGTTTCAAGAAGTTCAGGCTTTCACCTATTTTTAAGATGTCAAATTCAAAGACTTGCCAGCACTAACCAATCACCCTCATCTCCAGGAGACAGGCCATGTTTACAATCCACTACATCTTTCAGATTTAAGTGAATGTAAGGGCCTAGTAGGGAATTCTCCATACACAACTGGCTAGAACATATGTGGCGTGCAGGACTTGAGTTGGCTTATGTAGTAGATGGCCCACGTCTCTTTCCACTTACAACAGTTCCACATTAGTATCACCGACTCATTTTCAACAGAACTAATCCTAAACCAGACAGGAGTAAGGGATTTGAGAACAAAGCCCTTAGGATACAAACACCCCACACCATGCACATTCCCGCTAGGACAAATACATTTGAGCATCTAAAAGTTGCTAACAATCCAGGAATGATTTAATAAAGAATCTCAAAAACAGTCGGTCTTTTGATAAGGTGCCCCTACAGCTCCTACACACACGCACAGCAAAAATCTCAAGCACAGAGGTAGAGAGAGATGTAGTAAGAAGTTGTAAAAGTTCACACTTCAGAGGATCAAACTAACACAATCTGTGCACTGCTGGGCCCCGTGTTAATTGTTTCTTTTAAAAATTAAGAAATAAATAAAACAAGGGCTGCAAATAGCTTACCAGGGAGACACCAAAAGCTAAGCAAATTAAACTATTTAACCATGGGTTTTATTAAAACAAACATTTTATAAAATGTTCTTACATTTGTTTTTGTTTATAAAACATTCAAGTCTTCAGATAAGATTGTGCGATTTTTTTTGCCTCAAAATATATTCCAGTCCATTTCTGGAGCATAGTGTGAAATGTAGATAAAAGCTCAGCAGGTTAACTTCTGTAACAGATTCGCTATAAACACAGACACAAAGCCAAGATTAAGTTAGCCTCTTGAGAAGGATCATTAAAAAAAAAAAAAAAAGATCTACCCAGTACTTGAAACAGAAATTAAATGAAGGGAGAAAACATGGGGGGAGGGGGGGAAAGAGAGAAATACAGAACTGACAGTACAGTCTTCTGCCAAATATATGTTTTTTCCACACCAGCTAGCCACCGCCACCAAATAGCTTTTAAAGAAGCTGAACACTTTATAAATTGTCTCCACATGAGCAAGTCTTCAGAACAACCACCAGTTACTCTATTTTCATACGATGCAAAATTTACTGGTGGGGCAGCAAAGCATTTTTTTCTTTCAGGTGAGCTGGGGGGGGGGCGGAAAAAGAGAAGGGGGGAAGGAGCATATGGATCAAACCCAGCTTAATTTATTTTTATCTTATTGTTCCTATAGCAAACCATGGAAAAAGGGGAAGACATCAAGCTCATGCATGCAGTGCACAGCGCGAAGGTCTTGAAAACACTGCTTTCCCTTGTCTGTTCTTGGAGTACATGTAGGACCCAGGCATGCTGCAGGGAGGGAGGGTAAGCCACTCCAGTACCATTAGGAGCTGCTCCAAAGATATTTCCATTTGTTTGCAGGGTTGGGATCAGACAGAAAATTGGGTTAAAGTGATCCATCCCTGACTGTTCAGTCACAGAGTTTGTGAAGAGTCAAACTGACACACATTATAATAATCAAGATTTTAAAAAAAGTAGCTTAAGATTCTAGGCACCTCCATTTTTGGGTGCCTAAACTCAAAACAAATTAAAGTGACCTAATTAACAGAAAGTGTTCAGTTTCTGCCTTCTGAAAACTGGGCTTTTTATGGTGCTTCAAATTGAGTTCCCCAAATCACCAGTCACAGTTGAGTCTTGGTCAATATTTACTAAGTACTAACTGTGCAAAGCAATGAACAGACCCCTGTTTTAAATAAACCTGCAATTTCCCACCTAACAAAATCATCCTCTACGGCAGCAGATGATAACTGTAATGAGGAAGGTAGGTACTGTATTTGGGTTCACAATGGAGCTCACCTGAAGTCCTAGATTTTTTACCACCACAAGAGTTAGTTTATTTTTTTTAGTTGTACTAGTATAAAGCACAACACGCTGCAAGAAATGAATATCCAAGTCTTTTACAAATGCCTTTTATAAACAAAGGGAGGGGGGGAGGGGAAAAAAATACCCTAAGAAAAAAAATAAAACAACATAAAATGTTTATACATTCTGTCCCATTAGAGCTAAAGTGTGTCCAGAATGCTCTTTTCAACCCCACCATCCCCCGTTTTCTGCACTGATCTAGTAAACAATAAGGAATTTGCAGCCTTTGGACATTGCAGAACTCCCCCTCTCTCCCCTTTGCACCCCCCACCCCACCCCCCATTAAGTTCAACACAGAGCAGCAGGACAATAAGAAAAAGCTATCGCATTGTAAATTTATGTACCATGCATAGGTTATGGAATGTAGTGCAATAGGGCACTAAGCAGTGATAAAGCTGCATTCCTTACAAAGTTAACAGCTTTTTGCTCATGATTTGTGCATGTGGGCACTGCTGAATGACCTTCAAGCTTTCTAAGACCCACAAGAAGGCACAACATTAGACAGATTTATTTTTAATCAGGTGGTTGCAGCTCTATTTTAGGGACTAAACCTATAGTTTTCTCTCCCTTCCAATTCTGATGCAATGGCCTGAAAGAGCAGTTTTAAACTCTGCTGTAGGTAATGAATAAAGGAGCGAGAACCTATGGTCTAAAAGGGTGAATTTGACGTTTGTATCTCCAAAAGAGCTCTGAAGGCAACTTCAGAATTCAAGTCCAGCAGGGCTCAAGGAGTCTCTACCCAGATGATTCACATTGCTGTTTTTTTTCCCCCCTCAGTAGGAATTTTATAGTCAAATACCATTTAATACAATAGCCACTCTAACATACATCTTGCATAAAAGCAAGCGGAGTTTTGACAGCTGAGATACATTATTCAGAGCAGAGAAATGAAGTTATATAGCTGGCAGCATAGTGGAAATAATGCAGGAACGTATCTTTTTCATTTCAACAAAGGAAATCCTCTACATCCCTGGCTTTAAACAAACCACTCTCATTTCTGAATCCTGATTTCATTACATGCCAGAAAAAGATTATCTTTTTGTGAAAATGCTTTACAAAACAAGCTAAATTAGACTATGATACAACAATGCAGTGTACTAAGACAATATTACAAAGTCAACTGGCAGCTATGTATCATACCAAAAAACATTCCCGGTACATAACTAAATGGATGGACAAGCACACTGCACATTGATGAACCAAGACAACTGACATCAAATTACTTGAAATACCCATACGACAGTCCCTACATTTCTGAAAACCTAACCCTAACTCAAGCTACATAGGGTGACAGAAACAAAGAGACCACCGAGCAAAACTCATGTGTTAGGATACGCAAGAAGGAGGAAGCAGCTTATTTATCCAAGGCATTTTGAACAATGAGAGTTGAAAAACAGCAACTGCCAAAAGCCAAATCCTATAGGCAAAACATCCTACAGTATTCAGAAGTTATTGAAAAGATACAGTACTGAGAATCTCTAGGATCTACTGGCTCTGAAAACATCTACAAGTTACAGTGAGGATTTCTTAGTTCTGCAAGATCTGCTCCCCACCATCAAACGCGCAGCCCGCAGCTCCACAGAACATCTTCACTAAGCATCCAGGGCTAAAAGGTGACTGAGAAATCCTCCAGCAAAACTCTTAGTACACCATCACAATGAGGATGCTCTCCTTGTCACAGCATTGCAATGTTTCTAGGTCCTGTTATGAACCAAGCTACTGGCTAAGAGAGGGTTAACTAACTAAAGATAGAGTAGGCTTTGAACAAAACTGACACCATTGATAGAAGCTTGCAGGTGTCTGGGTCTAGCCATAAATTTGCACACAGGTCTGCCTGGGAGGTTAATGGTTTGCTAACTGGATTCCAAGGGTCACAGATTAGGTTTTTGCCAGATTTGAACTTTGGACATTTTTCATTCCAGCCCTTCTCTAAGTCTCCAGCAGGAACAGGACAGGTCAAGGGGGTTTTGTTTACAAGTGCTCACAAGCACCCAAAAATACAATGAGACCACAAGGGAAGGCTGATCAGATGCTGTCCCTTTGGACGTGTGCCTTGGCTCACTGCTCCTACAAAAGCCAGCTTGACACCCACCCAAGTATAATATTAGGATGACAAGTGTTGAAACTTGCTGAAATGACTTGGAAAGAAAAAAAAAAAAAAAGCAGCAGCAATCATAAGAGACAACAAAGATAATGCTAATACCTGCATGCAGCCAATTATGAGACTAATGAAAAAGGTTTAGAAATGCAAACAAGACACCAGTGATGCTAAAGCATATTTCCCCTCTGAGGTTTCCAGTCAGTAAAGCATGGTGTACATCTGTACGGGTGCACACATACAGTGTATGTATGTACGTTTCCATCTACACACACACACACGTATATATACACACACATATATAGCTATCTATATCTCTCAATATAGATATAGATGCATGTGTGTATAAAGTGTGGCATTTGGAAACAGTCACGCAAGATCCTGCATCATTCTAAGAATGAAAGCGGCTGTAAAGGGCTGTGGCAAGAGCAACGGTGATTTACGTTCACTAAGGAGACTGCGTTATGGTATTACCAGCGATAGCAATCAGCCAAAAACACTGCAGCTCCTGGAATGAGAGACGTGTGGGCGCACATTTGCCCGGTAAAGCGGGAATAAGAGAAACCACAGAAGATGGTTTAAAGAAAAGAGAGCCACTTGTGTTTTAAGGGCCAAGTTTCAGTGGGTAATTTGTCCTCAAGCTAAGACGGAGGGGGTGAGAGGACAGGAGGTGGCACAGCAAGAATGACAGAGGGGCTGGAGGGCAGAGGTGAGCCTCGAAGTGCTTTGGAGGCAGCTCAAGGGAGGCTCACCTGGGGGCCTTGGCGGCGCTGGCGCTGGCGGGGGGGCTGTCGCGGCGGTCCAGCACGCCGGGCACGCAACTGGTGAGCTCGGTCCAGTCGGCGTGCAGCCCGCAGCTCCAGCCGGTGGAGAAGCGCGAGAAGAGCCAGGTCTCGCGGCGGTTGGGCCGGTAGCAGGTGCACTTCTTCTGGCCGGGCCGGCAGTCGCAGGGCACCTCGAGCCGCACGTTCTGCACCAGGTGGCGGCCGAAGGTGGTGCCGCCCGTCTTCTGGATGTGCAGGAACACGATGACGCCGTCGCCTTTCATGTCGAAGGCCAGGTCGCGCGCCAGCTCGCGCACGGGGAAGTAATACTTCTGCACGTAGTGCGGGTCGGGCGTGGGGAACAGGTCGGGCGCCTCGGCCGCTGCGCCGCGCCGGGGGGGCGCCCCGCGGCTCAGCCCCGGCCCCGCGTACTGGTACAGGATCAGCATGAAGCAGGCGGAGCCGGCCACGGCCAGCACGAACTTGCTGCTGCGCTCAACCATGGT